GCAGTCTTTAAAGCGCCCTTGTTGGGTTTCCATGTTTCCCTTCCAGGAGTGTACCATCTTGGGGCTCCTACAATAGTAAGGATGATAGTGTTTTGGGGACGATATTGGGGTCCCCCTATTTAGGGAAACTACAAGGTACTTGCAAGAGAACCTTCTTTGAGTTTTCGTACAGCCTACCACCCCTCAAAGATAGGCTCGCCAAGTTGGCATGGAAGCCCAGATACTGCAGCCACGTTTTCATGGAATTCGAGTCTTTAAAGGGCCCTTTGGGGCTTCCCATGTTAGTTTCCGGGAGGGTAGCACCAAAAGGTGGGAAGACTGCTCCGAACTGAAGCCGATCAATGAAGCTGCCAAAATCTTCCCTGCACACGTCTACCAACATACCCCCGGGCTAGGGTTTACAGGGTTCAGGGTCTAGAGGGTTTAGGGTTTATAGGGTTTAGGGAGTAATGTTTACCAACATAGCCCCAAATAGGAGCCTGAAGCACTCTAACCAATGCGAGCCCGTACAGTGGAATATGGGATATTGCCTGCTAGAAGCTAGTGCCGTTCTACCTAGACATCACTAATTATGACTCTGACCGCAGCACCCCTAAACCGTCAATCATCTTAATGTCCTATGATACCCCCGGAAAACAAGCTGATCAAGCCCCTAAAACCTAAACCCTATACTCTCAACCCAAAACCCTACCTAAACCCCAAAAGTATGTAAAATAATAGCCCTAAGCCCATAATAACAGCCCAAAAGGCCATTATTCTACATACTTTGGGGGTTCATGTACTGGTAAAATGATCGCATCACAGAACCCGGAAGCGAGCCAAAGCCCCTGCCGCCCCTGCCCTCCACTAAAGAGCGTGTTTAGGGTTTAGGGTTTAGGGTTGAGGGTTCAGGGTTTAGGGTCCTGGTGCTCCATAAGGAATTGAGGGAATAAGACAAAACCCCTTAAACCCCAAACCTTAAGGGAATTCGTAGAACCCCACTGTAATTGTCCCCATGACTCGCTTGCCCTTCCTTACGGAGCACCAGGGAGACTTCTGGGACGGTGGTCTTTGAACAGCCCCCCCTGTAGGGGTAGGGTTTAGGGTGTAGGCTTCGGAGGATAAAGATCCCCCTGAACCCTGCATCTTACAAACTCCAACCATCTCCAACCTAAGCCCTCTGACCCTAATCCCCCAAGCCCTAAACCATAAACCCTAAAGCCCCCAAACCCTACAAAACCCACAAAAATGCTTCACCCCAGACTCCCTAAACCCTAAACCCAAAACTCAAAGCCCTAAACCCTAAAACCCTAAACCCTAAAACCCTAAAACCCCAAATTCACAATGCCACAAAGGAACGCGGTTGCTACGGGCCGCCCTTGAGGGTGGCCATTTCATCTCCAAAGGGATTTCTGAACTCCCGGCCTGAATAAAAGGATTCAGGGTTTAGGATTTAGGGTTTAGGGTTGAGGTTGTAGGGTTCAGGGCTCAGGGCTTAGGATTAGGGTTTAGCACTTAGGGCTTAGGTTTTAAGGTTTAAGGTTTAGGATTTAGGGTTTAGCATCAGGCTTAAGGACCCCACCCCACTAGTGAGGCTTATAGTATTTGGGTTTTGTTATATTGGGGCCCCTTTTTAAGGGCTTAAGGGGTTAGGGATGTGTCTAATAGTATAATGCAGAATCAAATAGCAAAAAAGAATGAACATGGAAACTGGGTCCCGTATGTATGGTCACTACAATACCGTATGGGTTTAACGATTAAGGTTCAGGGTCTAGGGTATGGGGTTAATGCTCGTGCGGTTTCGCGGGTTTAAACCCCCCCTTCATGACAGGAACCTTTGTAGAGCTCTCTGGGCCTCTGGGAAGTCTATGTGTGCTTGTATTGCAAAGAACACTTAGGAATTTAGCTCTCAACCATGTAATCCGCCTACCTATAACAAAACATTACTTGTAGTAGTTACCTGGGGTTTTACTGCCACAGGGAGAAAAATCGAAGGGGGTGGGAGAACCCTATACCCTAAACCCGAAAAACCTAATCCCTGGGATTACATCTCAGGACAACTGTTACCCTCACCCTGCAGGCGCTTTAGATATGGCGATTTAAATATGCGAGTGGCCATGCTGCTAAAGACCTCGAGAATTACAGGGGGTTGGTGTGCAGGGTCTAGGGTTTAGGGATGTTTAGGGGGATGAGGTTTATGGAGTTGGCCCTCCCTCACGTCATCGCTGCTACCAGTCTTAACTCCTGCCTTTCTCTGGTTAGACCTAAACCCTAGGCCCTAAACCCAAGATGTATTTGGCCACGAAAGACAAGACCAGAACGTTGAGAATGGTTTAGGCCCCTGTAGAAGCCCTCGCATGGTTTAAGGGTTTAGGGTTCGGGGTTTAGGGTTTAGGGCAACCTACCTGACTCTCTGATCCAACCCTTTTGTGATGAGGCATTCAAGCCAAGGACTTCTAAATTGCACCTCTTTCTGGGATATTGGATTTCTCAAAACCCCTTTTCGGGTTTCCTATGTTCGGGGCTACATGACTTGGAGGGATATGGAGGACCTTGATTTAGAGAAATACCCACATCACCTCCGACGCCGGCAATGCAAAGTAGATTCCCAGAGACTTTCTTAATCGACGACAGGAACTCCTACATGCGGAGTTCAGGATATCAAAAAGCGGAGCGTAACGTGCTGTCTTTCCTAAATGCAAACAAACCCTAGAAGCCCAGTTACCTATATATTGGGTTCCTGTCCTTGGGTCCTTATATAAATTTATACTATCTTTAACCCAAGAACCTACTATATGAGTACCTTGGCTTCTAGGGAAACAGAGGCCCTGATGAAGGTTTGTCCGCTTAGACCCCAACCCTTACTCCTTATTAGTCGTTAAATGGGAATGCTCATCCCTGGAACTCCTCTCAAATACATACCCACCCCCCACCCCCGCCCCCAAAAAATCGCTTCGGGTTTCGGGTGTAGGGTTTAGGCCGCAGAAAAGCGCGACAAAAGCCCCTACATTACCGCATAGAGCCGTGTGGAATCCCACCTGGCGCCATGGGGGATCAGCTGCTTCAACCAGCAGCCAGGAAAGGCCCAGCAGCGCCCAGAAAGCCATGGGTGGCGTGTGTTTGGAAATTACGGCTGTGGAGGATTGCATTGGAGAGTTTCAGGCTGGGGCTTCAAGGTTTGGGGTTTAGGGTTTAGGGGGTCAACTTACTATTAGAAAACAAGAATGAATGACTTGTGTCATCCCCCCAAACAGTAACTATCCTTCAAGGGATCTTATCTACTATAACTCCTACCATTCTGGTAACTCTTACCCTAAGCAGGAATGACCCAATCAATGACTGTGTCGAGTGCTCCAGGGCTTCAGGCTTAGGATTCTCAAAGTTGGTGGTTAAAGCTATAGTCCCCCTTGAGTAGATAGAATATGGGGCATATGGGGATCTTATTCTACCATACCTATTTCCATATTCTATCTACTTAAGGGGGACTATAATTAGGGTCAAGGTTTAGAATGCCGGGCCCGGCAGGATCTTCAGCCTACGGCTGTAGATTTGTCACTTCAGGGTTCAGGCAGCCTAGGGAGCCACGACGCTTCTTGAGTCGCATTAAATCGGGCACATGTAAGAAGCCTGGGACTTGTATCAAGACTTCATACGATTTAAAGGGCTCTGTCAATCCAATGATCTCTGTCCTTGCCGCGGGTATATGGGAGGGTTGTCAACATTTAGGTCCCTTGTTGGGTCTCCAATATACTGTGGCACCTACTATTCAGGATGCCCAAAACAGGACCATGATGTTTACAACCCCCTCCAGCTCTTCCCTGCAGAACTTGGGTCGAGTGTCGGCGTCCGCGGCTGAGATAATCGTGAGCTGCCTACCTAGCTACTATGACGCAGAAGCTGGTCGCGCAAGCAGGCAACAGTCAGCAAAAAGAGGTGTCGAGGTATGCGGGGATGACATGGCTAGATGTAGGGGTCTATACAGCGGTATATGGAGATGCATCGTTTTTGGGGCTAGGCATGGCCAACCCGAAAGTTGTAACCAGGGCATATCCTTCAATCTGCAAATGCTGTTACAGAGAATAAGATATTGTTTGTAATGTGATATGCCTACCTACTGTGGATGTCAGAAATCTTGAACCACCGTAAATACCCTTATGCATCTGCATGCCATAGGAGTTGCCATATTGTTGGGGTTGCTAAGCTGGCCTTTGGTAAGCTGAGAGTGAAGGAATGGAAAAGACAATGGAAACTACTATAATGGGTTATACTTTTGGGACTGCTAGAAGGATCCATTCCATTCCTTCATTCCTATCTACCCAAAGGCCAGTAAGTGGTGCAGGACTTTCTCCATCCAACGTAGATCAGGGCTTCGAAACATACCGGTCTCGAAAGCTGAGCTTTAGTGCGACTAGGTGGAGTTAGTAAGGGGAATCCAAACAAGCTGCACTAAAGAGCCACCATTATTTTCCCGCAGAAAGCTTGCTTTCAAACATGGGAGTGCCCTTCGTTTGATCACGCCTATATATCTAGATCTGGGAACGGGTAACAGGCACCCTCGTTTGGAGGCATAGCCGTATGAGAGAGTCTACGTGGCAAACTATTTGGCCCGTGGTGTCCGAGAGGTGAACCCCTAGACCCCAAAAACCCAAGCCTCTAAACCCCTAAACCCCTAAACTGCTAAACCCCTAGACCTCAAACCCCTAAACCCCTACACCTAAAACCCCTAAACTCCTAAACCGCTAAACCCCTAAACCTAAAATCCCTAAACTCCTAAACCGCTAAACCCCTAAACCTAAAACCCCTAAACCCGTAAAACGCTGAACCCCTAAACCTAAACCCCTAAACCGCTAAACCCCTAAACCTAAATCCCCTACACCCCTGAACCGCTAAACCCCTAGACCTTAAACCCCTAGACCCCTTAACCGCTAAACCCCTAAACCTAAAAACCCAAACCCCTAAACCATGTGTTCTCCTGACCCCGAACGCAAGGACCGGCTTCTCCCCCCGCCCGGGTCACAGGCTCTGCTGGGGAAGCGGAACATTCCGGCAGAGGTCCTGGTGGTGGGGTTTAGGGTTTAGAGGTTTAAGGGTTCAGGGCTTGGGGGTTTAGGTTTGGGGTTTGGGGTTTACGGGTTTAGGGTTTAGGCTGTAGGGGTTTAGGGTCTGGCATTCGCGTAGAGGGTTTAGGATACTAGCAGTTATTGTTGTTGTGTTTAACGGGCCTTCTCTCCAAGGGTTTGCGACCCTCAAAGATGCCGCGAAGTAGTTGGGGATGAGGATTTAGGGTATGGGGTGGTAGCCATACTACTAGAAAAACAAAAAATCAATGGAGAACAACAGCCAGAATACAAGACGTAATAACAACAGCACGATAAGAATGATGACGGCAGAAGAAACAGCACAGAAAGTAGTGATGATCCAAACTACCCTAAACCCTAAACCCTAAACCCTACCTGCTGAGACTTCCGAGGTGGTTCAGGGGCCGAATGCAGCCCTTCTTCGGAAGCACCGCGGGCGGCTTCCCAGAATTAGAGGTCCATCTTGTGTCATCCTGGTAACGAGGGTTGCATACATGGGGCCCCCTGTTCATGCACATCCTCATGACAAGCACACTCCCCAAACCCTAACCCCAAACTCTGCCCCAATGTACCAAGCATCGATCCGCAAAACCTAGAGGCAATCAGATCTTGGTGGCGGCTGGATTGCTACTGTTGTGGGGTCTCCTAACCACCCCACTGCCCCGCCCGGGTTCCTCGTCATCACCCCTAAACCCTAAACACTAAACTCGAAACCCCCGAAACCGCGTGACTTAGCCCTTTAAAAATCTCAATTGAAGGAGAACCTGGGGGGAGTAGTAGGGGAATCCATACCTCTCAACCCTCAGCTAGGGTTTAGGGTTTAGGGGTTTGGGGTTAAGGACTTAGGGTGTAGGCTTTAGGGTCCTCCTGGTGGTTATGAGAACAGGGTTCCCTACGTGAACCCTCAAAAAGCATCACCCCTCAAAACAATCGACCGGTGATGCCTAAAACAAGCAGGCCGGGAAATGAAGAGAACCCTGTGCAAGGGAATCATGGTGGAATGTTTGAGTCATGTAAGCACTGCAATGAGATCCTTTCCTCCTACTACTCACCAGTAAAACTAGAAAAGCCCCAAGCAAGGCCTGAACACTAAAATCCCAGCCCAAACCCTAAACCAACCCTAAACCCTAAACCCTAAACCCTTAACCTAGACCCTCCTCTATGGAGACTTCGGGAACTTTGCGAACGAGGTCAAAGAGAGGAGCTGACCTGATTCAAGCTGCATCTTGGGGCTTCCGTGCGGCTTTTCTCAAAAACTGGTTTAGGGTTTAGGGGTTTAGGCTTTAGGGCTTTAGGGTTTAGGGTTTAGGGGGAGTCTCAAAATAGGGGAACAAAATGGGATTACTTCGAGAAATACCTAACTCGGGATGCCCTTGGACCACAAGGATATAGAGATGATGGAGTGAGTGCAGGGATCTGCCAGGGTCTAGGGTTCAAGGTTGGAGGTTTTACTCTGCTTTTTGATGCAGTATTTTGCGGTTCAGGGCTAGGGCTTAGGGTTCAGGGTATAATGTCATGTGAACACAGGCTGCAGCTTGCAGTCTGGGCTGTTAGCCATACCTGATAATGTCCGAGCGTACTGCGACCTACTGCGCCCACCATCAGATGAGTGCCCTCAATCAAACCAACATGGAACCTAAAAACCTGTGCAAAGACTACAGCCCTGTCAACAGGGTGCTTTATGGGTTTCCATGTCAGTTTGGGAGGGTAAGTACTTCGTGAACCACATACGACGTTATCAAAATGATCCCTAGCCCCTAAACCCTAAGAGTATGAGAGGAACCGGACCTGAACACAATCCCCTGCCAATGCTGTAGCCTCACCTTGGGATTCGCCAGGTTTAGGGTTTAAGGTGTCTCACCTTGGGATCGGCCTTCACCCACTAATAGCGAGCACGATGGATAAAAGAAACTATATTGGGATCCCATGAGCGACAGCAAGGGATAACATCATCTGTATTGGGCTCCCTATATAACCCCACCCACCAATAGCGACCACACGGCATAAAAGTAACTATGCTAGGGTCCCGATGTATACTTTCACGTACACCATGTGTTGCTGCTACTTGTAGGTGGGGGCATAACCAAACCTGCCCCCAATGACAAGACGTGAGCGGCAAACGTACAGAGCCTAAGACTCAGACCGTGGACATTCTGGGACCTTAATCCCCTACATGCTAAACCGTTTTTAAGTTTAACGTTGGGTCGATCCCCCGCAGTAATGGGTACCACAAGGACTATTGTAGGTGCTTTAAGGCCCTATTACCTCCTCCGTATCTAGGGCTCATCATAACTACAGGGGGATTGACCTAACTTTGAGGGGTTGAGAGTATCCTAAAACACCCCGAGCCCTAAACCCTGAACACCCTTAAACCCTCGAAAAGTCCTGGGAAACCCACGGGGTGAGATCCACCACCGTCTCAGACGGGGGGTCCTGGTCATTTTGAGGGGGATAAAATGGGACTGTATAGCGGCTGTATAGGGACTATGTCAATGTAGGAATTATGGAAAAGAACATGCAGACTACCACTTAAGGTTCAGGGCGTAGCTGTCAGCGTTCGCGGATTAGGGGTTGCACTATCGGGCATGGGCTTTCCGATTTAGCGTCTGGAGTTTTTAGGTTTAGGGTCTGTAGGGTTTGATGGTTCAGGGGTGGGGTTTTCAACGGGAGTGCCCCAGTAGTCAGGATCCCGTAAGTTTCGAACCGAGCTTGTCGTAGGATACTGCATGGAAGTGGCCGAACAGGGGGTGGAGAAGTTGTGCACGAAGTCTATGTGTCGTATTACGTCTGACTGGTCCTCTAATTTGAATAAGCAGACGAAAAGTCTTCCATACTGGGAAGGTCTTAGGCATGGCTAGGACTGAAGTAGCCTAATGGGGTTTAGGGTTTAGGGGTTTAGGGTTTTAAGGTTTAGAGTACCGTGAACCATACAGTAACCCTAGCTATCACCATTATCAACCTACTTACTGAGTCTCCCTAACCCTCTAAGTTGTCTTGAACATTTAGATCCCTGCCTCCTGAGAGGAACATTTTCCCAACGGAAAACATCGGTGTTTCCCAAAATTAGGGGTACCATTTTGGGGGTCCCAGTAATAATCAAGATTTCGCTGCTGCGTCTATTTCAGGTTCCCCCTAGTTGTGGAAGCTGCCACATGGAAATTCAGAAGCAGTATGAGTTTAAGTAGTTATTGTCAATCAAGTTGGACACCAAATATCTATGCCCAGCGATCTCCATACACATGCGCCAAAAACGGGCCAAAATTCAAACCCATGTAGGCTCCTTGTAGCACGACAGTCACGGAATATTCTTAAGTAAGGAGTAGTTATCACTGAGCTGTGCCTAATTAGAATGAAGCCCTGAATACGATTCCTATGTAGCCCGTGCATGGCCCTCAGGGCTAGCACCTGAATCAAACTTTCCGCCCCACAGCCCAATGAATAAGAAGACACAATCTCCAAATCATCCTGCTCGCCTGTAGACTTCACCCAATTTAGCATTTTAGGGTTTAGGGGTTTAGGACTTAGAACTTAGGGTTTTTGGTTTTAGGGTTTAGGGTTTTGCAGATCCTCCAAATCGTTCGTTCCCTGTAGAATCAAGAGCTGCGCGTCATCCTTGGCATACGGGCGCTTGTCGACGAAGGGAAGCATCAGGGGCCCCAAACTACTCGGGTCCTCTCTTAGCACTTTAAAGGAAACTGTTGTCCTCTTTAAGATTGGCCAGGGACGCCGAATAGGATTTCATGACAAATCCAAGTCCTTGAAAAAGGCTCAGATACCAACAAAACTAACTTCACTGCCTCTTTCTTGCCTTGTGATGGTGTCAGCAGAAAAAAAATCTGATGATGAAATGAAGCTTGACGAAAAATGGAGGCGATGATCGATTGCAACCGGTGGAGACCATGCTGATGACAACCATGCTCAGTCATGCCCGTAAGAATAGTGAGTATGATATTAGAGTCATGATCATAGCGATGGCGATAACAAATACTCAGCAAGGAGCTATAAATAAGCATCGCAACTAACAGCCGCAAGATCTCAAAGCACGACATGTACCGATACCGCACAGGAGCCCGCACAGTCCCCTTCCAAATGAGCCATACCCTAAACTCCAAGGACATGAGCCATACCCTAAACTCCAAGTGTCCCTCTTCATAACCGCTATAATACTCCCCTTTCTCATCCCCTATATAACCCGCCTATAGGGAGTTTAGACTACATCTCAAATGGACACCAAAAGCACTACAAACTCAGGAAGACCCTGGACACAATGGCAATTCACTCCGTTAGCCTTCCTGCCCTTCCCTAGGACCTGAACCCTAAACCCTTTACCCAAGACCCTGAACTTACAGGTTGTTAGTCGGGAATAAGGGAAATACATGCTCCCCTGGAAGAATAGATTCTCTTCTTCCGTACTAAACCTAAAACCCTAAGCCCTAAACCCTAATACTATACCTGAACCCTGAACCTTAAACCCTGTAATTTATATTCCTTATCCCCTACGACCTCAGGACCCTTGACCTGGAGCAAGCAAGCCCAAAACCTCCTCACTTGGGCAGGGACCGCCTCGCCGGGAGGCCTCCGACCGCAGCGAGCTTGTTCATGGTTTAGGGTTTAGGTTGAATTTTGGTTTTGCCATTGGTTGGTTTTGCCCTAAACCCTAAGCCCTAGACCTTTGCTTCTAGCGTATAAGATTTAAGTTTCCGGCCTTTAGGCTAAGTTGTTTCCCTTCATCCCAGAACTTGAAAGTTTAGAGTCTAAGGTGATTCGAAACAAAGACCCTAGACCTTAAACCCTCCTCTAGGGCAGGTTTGGGGGCCCTATACAAATCATGCTTCTCTGTATTTGAATTTTATAGGGGTTACGGAGGGCCCATCACTTAGAATGATGAAGAAAATATGACGAACAGTTGGAAAATCATCAGGAAACTCGTTTTGCAAAAAACAACATGGCCCCTCATTGGGTCCCGAGTATAGGACGCCACCTATGATTTAGGACAGCCGAAAGGAACCAAAGTTTGGAGAGTCAGCCTCATAACGTGGGATCTAGACAATCCACGAGGTACAAGCTGCTTCCCAGATTTCGTCATAGCGGAACCCAAATGGACGGACAACTGTCTTTCTCGTGGGACATAAAGGAATGGATCCCTACATGCGAGTAGTATGTGGTGTTCCCAGACTCCTTCATTGTACCGGGCCTACCAATCAGGTCATTTGTAATGCTTGGCCAAACTCGCTCCCAGCTAGCTAATCTAACATGCAGCCCGGCCTCTCGATGCCAGCCGCCTGCGCATTGAATCAGCAGTAGTTCTTGAGAAATCTTAGCCCTGCAAAAGCTGGGTAGACTGGGCTTTGAGGCCTCAAACCTGGGCTACCGATGGACCGTTGGGGTTTCCCTTCAAAGGCAGTAGCCCCAAAGGCTTAAACACCAAGGGCCCCCAAAAAAACACCCTGAAGCCGCCTACCTAAATCGTCTTGGGGACAGCATGAGAATCCGTATACTCACCCTGAAGTGGATAGAATATGGCTTTGGGTATTTTGTAATTAGATCCCCGTATACCCCATATTCTATCTACTTGAAGGGGATTGTACACCCTAGACCCTAATCCCTATGAAGGATGCTCTACCAATATCCGCTGCAAGCGGAAACCAAGGTACTAACACACACTCCCGCCTCACATTGAGCCATCAAAAACCCTTAAAGGGGATTCTATAGTGGAGTATATATGGTTAAGGGTGTAGGGTTTAGGGATTAGGGTTTAGGATTTAGGGTCTAAACTCCGTAAAGGGGGTTATATAAGGGATGATATGGGG